AGGTATCATAGTCGGTATTATCAGTCAGTTTTCCCATTCCCCACAAAAAGCCTCAAACTCATCAAAGAGACCATTTCTATAATTCAATCTATCAGAGGATTTTTCGAAACCCAGTCTATCTACATGGTCTACATCGTCAGGGTGTATTTCCAATTTTGCTGCCAAGCTAAGGACAGATAAATTCCTAAAATGTCTACCTCATCAGCACCCTCAATGGGATTCGAGCCCACTCCATGAGTATCGTGGCGAAGTTTGCCACTTCACCGCATCGCCACACATGCAATATTCACAGCAAGCTAGACCTCTTCTAACTCACTTTTTTACAGTTTTGTTGTTTACGCAAACGTATCTTTGTCATTGCAATCGACGACATAACTTATTTTACATCCAAGTAGCTTTCGAGGCTATTGAACAAAAAGTTGTCCAAGAATTATTGCCAGTCTCAAAGCAGACTTTTATTGAAAATTTCCCATCAATTGTTGTATATCCAAAGAAAATGTCGGTTTAGAAGAATATCTTGAAATAAGATTGTTATGAAGACTTTCATTTTGTATAAGAGCATATGATGAAGCGATTTGTAGTTCGATCTGATTTTCGCTACTCTCCAGCAACATAACGATCATGATTTGTTGCCCTAATAGACACACACACTAACACACACACACACACACACACACGCATCTCAAACAGTCTTTTCATCGTCTCTAGCTTCCTTCAAATTGCAATTTATGCCTTGACGTTGACGTCTTACAGGTCGGTGCTAAAGGGGTCACGCTTATTGAAGATGTCGACCACGGTTCCAGCGAAACGTTGGGCGAGTGCTCCAAGTTAACGTGTTAACATCGAAAGAAGCCATGGCAACTGATCGAGTGAACAAAGTCCATATGATATCGCGAGTAATTTGCAAAGGCGAGGTGAAATCAATTGGATACGCCAAGAGGGAATCTGTATCCAAAATAGTGGCCACATCCTCTTTGTTTCCATACCTGCGAAAACCATATGATTCCCCTTCAAATGCCATTGAAGGGGTACAAATAGCGCCAGAATAACCAGGAATTGCAGCACGTTAGTTACAATAACATGAACCGATCTTCACGGCGTAGGCCTGCGCTATAGCCTGGTTACCGAGCGTCGCGGGGACAATCTACAGCCTGTATCTAGCCCCAGGAAGCCTTGGCCTAACCAATCACTGCAAAAATAATGGGACGAGCCTGTCTTAGAGACGAGTCAAATTGCTGGTCACTTGTGACATGATGCACCATTTCGAAGTAAAAGTTGGTTGCAACAAATTCGTGATGTCGTCTCACCGGAAGCCGGAGGAGGATTTCCAACTTTTCGAGTGCTCAGCGTCCTGTGACCCTCCAAACAACTTGTGCCGGGCTTTCGTCTCTACCTCCGGTACAGACAGCATCGAAACAAGCATCCACACTCGACGAAATAGAGCAAGAATACACTAAACCGATGTCACTATTCCATACAACCATCGCTTCGATCTTAATGAGGCATCCCATGATTTGGTTGGCTGCCCAAATTTACTCGACATGCTTGCAGATGAGTGAACCGGAAGTGTTTTTCACACATTACGTCTATGACCTAATGTTGACTCATGTGTGCGCAAGTGCTATTGTCTATTGTGTGTATGCAGTGTCCATGCTATCGGGAGTGTGATTGTGATAGCTAGACTCGAGGCTATCACATTCTCCTTTTCTTGCTCAATGGTTCATCGTGTTCACCCTTTCTCTCTCTATCTATCTATACATCTATATTTTTCTATTTTTCTCTTTCTCTATTTCTCTCTTTCTTAAGCCTATCCTACAGCCACGAATAGTTCCTACACTCACTTTCCTACACTCGTTCCTCCTATTCAGAAGGTTGGCTGTTTTGTCCATTTCTATAGACTCCTTGATCTTACTCTGCGATGTGAAGGCTTCGTGACACACTCACATCTACCAGTCCTTTATCACCTTAAATTAAATAGGCTGAATACATATAATATAACATAAATAGAACTGTATTCACGCTATTTCGGTTGACGTGATGAAGGACTGGTAGAAGAATTTTCCCACAATCATGAGAGTATAATGGGAGCTTGACACGAGTGCCCTTGGGTCAAAGGGCAGATGTGAATTTCCCATATCGTATTCTTTGGTGGGATTGTCGATGAAGCAAACGTATATTCGCTATAACAATTGACTGTGTTAGTTTATTATTCGCATTTAAGTATGGTTTCGAGACTACCGGTAAATTAGTAGCATGAGATGTATTTAACCAATTTCATCACCTCAACCGAAATTGGGTGAATAGATTTCATACTACTGATTTACTGGTAGTCTCGAAACAATACTTAAATGCGAAAAATTAAATAGAGCTGTTTGGATTATTAATAATAACTTGACTTAGGCAATGAAAAACACTAATTCTCCCGACAATTTGTCAAAGATATAACTACTAAAGCAGAGGACTTCAGATAGGGTGCGTCCACTTAGGTCTCCCTGGTCACACAACCAAGCTAGTAAGACAAATTCATGTTCCCTTTTTCGGATCATCTCGATCGACTCTCTGGTCTTCTGCTTAGTCGTGAAGTGCCCAAATCCGACAAAACGTTGCACTTCAGACCACCTAATCTGGTGTCTTTCAGTCACCACATGTTGAGCCATCTCAGATTTTTGGTTCCGCAAACATTAGCATTCGGTTTTTTCTATCTTGTCATCTTTCTGTATGGATAGACAAGTCTACATCACAGAGACATTACGACATGAGCACAAAACTGTATAATAACCGAAAGGGCTTCTGAAGATTATCTTTCTTTCTACATTGTCCTGACGCTCAATTGCCTCAGATATTCGCATATCTTTTTCTAAAGCTGGCAGGACGGTAGCCACATGAACCTGAATGGGTTGTCTAATTCCCTGCTTTGTCCTAAATAATGTTTCCCTCTCACCCAATTTCTTATCCTTACGGAAAAATTTTTCTCAACTAATATCTTTTTTAGACTTTCTAACTTGTGATCCTGATGATTTACATCTTCTAGGCGTAAACTTCTTATATTTTCTGACTACATTACTACTTCTTTAGCACCATAAGTAACTAAAAGCATGACAGATAAATGGCCTTAGCCAGCATGTAAGTCCCGCTAACCGAGACGTAGGAAGAGGTCAACGAGAGCCGACACAGCCATAAGAGATAAGGTACTTGAGGCAGTTTGAGCCAACAATTTGTGAATGTTCATCGGTATGGCGCTTAAACTGGAGGTCTGGACCACTCAGACCCCCGATGTGAGGCGACAAGTTTAAAGAAGTGCTGCTCTCCCAATGCCCGGATATCCTTCCTCGAATAGCTCAGTTGGTACTGTGGAACTGTACCATTTTCATTCTCGGAAACCCCCAAAAATGCACGCAGTCCACCGCTTCTAAATGGGGCTTTTAAGTTTTCTTGAATCGGGCAAAACGCGTTTTCCGTGATCGAGCTTGAGGGAGAGACAGAGGTGATAGACTCATAAATAATGCTGACGTACTTTTGAGCTCTTGCGAAAAAGCGGATAGAACAGAATCGTAAATCGGCCTCGCCAGGCAACAAATGAGGATTGTCTTGGAGTTGTAGTCATTGGATTGTGTGCAGAAGACCTCATTACAACGTTCCGCAGCCCCGATCAGTCTATGCTTAGCTTACATTCCGTCATATGACGGATATTGTCAAGGCCAGAAACCGTCGGTTACGAAAATTCATCAACAAACAATACATCTTGAAAATGAAATGTAGCATATGCGAGCATCAATCTGGTACAAGAGTCTTGGAAACCCTGCTTCTGCTCAGACTTAAAATGATTGAGAGGCTAAACGCAGAGATGCAGTA